CATATAATTCATTGTGTGTTGTTCTTTCAGCAAGGTGGATGACTCAGCCAGCCGACAGCTTCTCCACGTGCTGCTGCGTTACGCCTTGCGACACCTACGCCACAAATCCTTTTGACGTCATTTGCTGGCAGGCAAGCTCGAGCTGAACGAAACGTATTGTATGCGATTTTTTATTCAACTGAATCTGCTGTAAAGACGCTTAGATGGCTTAATAACACTTTTACTGAATGCTTCGTTTGTAATGTGAAATAAAGTTGAAAGCAGTTTGCGGTCTTCCATATTTCAATTGGGTTTAAATGACGCTAAAACGTCACGTTACGAATATCGATAGGTTTATGCCATAATCTAGCTAGCTTAATCGTACGATATTCCCTTTCATGAACGATCTTACGATATTAGCAGTCTTCTATAAGGTTTAAATGACGATAATAGGTCAAGTTCCGAATATCGATTACTTTTACGATATTCCTTTTCGTGGACCATCTTACGATATTGGCAGTCTTCAATATTTCCATTAGGTTTAAATGAGGACAACACATCACGTTCGGAATATCGATAGGTTTATGCCAAAAACCAATGCAGCTCGCTTACTCTTACGATATTCCCTTTCATGAACCATCTTACGATATTGGCAATTTTCTATATTTCCATAAGGTTTAAATGACGATAAAACGTCACGTTCCGAATAACGATAGGTTTATGCCACAATCCAATCTAGTTCGATTGCTTTTACGATATTCATTTTCATGAACCATCTTACGATATTGGCAATTTTCTATATTTCCGTAAGGTTTAAATGACGATAACACGTCACGTCGATAGGTTTATGCCACAATCCAATCTAGCTCGATTGCTTTTACGATATTCATTTTCATGAAGCATCTTACGATATTGGCAATTTTCTATATTTCCATAAGGTTTAAATGACGATAACACGTCACCTCGATAGGTTTATGCCACAATCCAATCTAGCTCGCTCACTTTTACGATATTAATTTTCATGAACCATCTTACGATATTGGCTGCAGTGCAGAACTGCAGAAAGTCCCATTTTCAAGATCTGCCATTAATATATATATTTATCCAACAATTACCCAACAACAATTAACTAAACAAACCTCGCCTTCTTTCTGCTTTTTTGTTGTATTTCATTCTTTTGGGTGTTGGTTGGTTGCTTTTCCATTTGATGAGTATGTTGGATGTTTAAAGTAGAGCGTCGAGCAGAAAATTGTGTGGCCGCCTGCTTTGCTCAATTGGGCCGTAAGGGGCTAACGAAGGTTAATGCGGCTGTATTTGACCTTTGGGGTCAAGCTGAAGGCAAATTAATTGCGAGAATTGAGAGCGCAATGAGAAATTCAGTTGATGACGACGACAACGACGATGACGACGACGACGATGATCGTAATGTGCTTGGGGCTCCTTTTGCCTTTGCCCGGGGTGACTGTAATTAATACAAATGCAGCAGCAGCAACAACAATAACTGTAAACGGGCATTGCCAATTGCAGCCAATTGAATCAATAAACCAAACTTGTGAACTTTCCAAGTTAATTTTCAAATGGAAATTGCTTTTGCTCTTGTTGTTGTTGCTGTTGTTGTTGTTGCTGTTACTGCGCTGCTTTCTGGCACTTCCGCTGCTTGGTGCACTCGCATTCGGATTCGGTTGGCAGGGCCGTTAATTATGTTGACCCACGTAATTTGTTAAAATCAAATGTGGAGCGTGCGGACGTGTGGGCGTCACATAAAAGTGCGCCGTCATCAACGGCCCAAGCTGCCACTTGGATATTGTAATTTGCCGCCCACGCAGCAGCAGCAGCAGAGGCAGCAGCAGAGGCAGCCTCGCCCGTTGGCCTGGCCAAATAGTAAGTGTGTGTGTGTGTGTGTGTTTGTGTGCCTGTGTACATTTTACTTTTGATAACGCGCTGCGGAATTGCTCGCCCACGCAGGCCCGGCACGCAAGCAGCGACGCCGACGCCGACGTCTCTTCCAGCACGCCATTCATTTCCACCCGCACCAAGCTGTATATACCGTAAGTGAGTAACAGTAACGGCAACGGCAACTGCGACTGCGACTGCGGCGTCGTTGGCAGCGGCAGCATTTTACGCATTCCAATCAGCCAGCAAAAATGCCAACGTGGGCGATTTCCATTTCCCTTTTTAACTGCCACACAGCGGCACCATGTTTATATGTATGCATATGTATGTGTGTGCATACAGTACAGTTGTATATAAGCACGTGTGTGCGTGTGTATCGTAAAACGGCAAAAAAACTCATGAATGAAAAGCTGCCGCTGCGCGTGGGCTGGCAGAGCTTTTGCTGATTGGTGCGTTGCAAGCTTTTGCTTGCTGCCCAATCGAAATTAAATTGTGTACTCTAAATGTAAGGCTGAACAAATATTGATTTGCTGTTGGCGAGCTGTTTAATAAACGCAACCATTTCGCCCACTGATTAACAAATAATTATTGATACAATTATGTATACTTATCTAGCGTAATATAGGCCACTTGCTATATAAATATGTTTTTATGAGTCTCTAATTTGACCGATTTGTTGGCTGTGTCTGCCATTTTCTAGAAACAAACAAAATTTGAATTCAAAAGTTGCGCCAATTTTAGCAGAGACAACTTCTAGCCGATACACACACCGCAAAGTTTTGAGCACAGCAAGCTGCCCACTTGTTGCTTTTACTGTAGCCCTGGTAGCGATAGCATGTCGAGCAGCATCGACAATTAATCGATATACGCAACAATTTCGATATTTTCCATCACTAATGGGTTCATTAGCTTTTTGTCTCGTCTCTCTGCCTCCCACTGGCACAATCCCACTTTTCCCCCCAAAAATCGTTTTTCGACTGTATTTGTATTGTTTGCATTAAAACAAACGGCGTCGAGCGTCGAGGTCGTCTGCCTTGTGAATATATACACGATATTTTTTGAAATAGTCTGCGTCATTTCGCACGCGCCGCCGCCGTCAACTGCAGCAAGCGAGTTGAAGATTTAACAAAAGGCAGCTCAATTCTAATTGCAAATATGGAATCGGATACAACGGAAAAAGAAAGTACGGCGGCGGAGTTGCAGTCGCTGCCGCTGCAAAGTGAAAGCGTCGTGGGTGGCAAGGCGGGGCAAGGCGAGGCGACGCCGCCGCCGCCAAACAAGCGCCAGAAAATTGCGCTAGACGCTGCGATTCCAGACGACCAAGTGGACGAACTGAAGGAGAAGGAGGTGGTAGAGGAGGAGGAGGAGGAGGAGACAGTGCCACAGCTGGTCGCTGTGGAGCGGGCACAGAGCACGCAGAGCAGCCTGCGTAAATTTAGCCGAATACCCGTCTTCATTGTGGACTATCACAACGATGTGCTGGAGTTCATCTATCGTTGCCTGGCCACGCGGCATCTGCCGCTGGAGCGTAACATTTTGGTGCATTTCGACTCGCATCCAGATTTGGTGGTGGCTCGCGATATACCCGCCAGTGCCAGCTATGACAAGGACATCATGCTGAACGAGCTGAGCATCGAGAACTGGATTATGCCCACCTTATATGCAGGTGAGTTGTAACCAGATCACAGCTGAGACACCTGTTATCCAATCTCGCTGCGCAGGTCATTTCGATCGCGTCGTCTGGCTGAAGAACTCGTGGTGCCAGCAAATACCCACGGGCAAGCACGACTTCAAAATTGGCCACAAGGAGGATCGCATCGGTGTCGACTGTCCGCTGGACTATTTCATAGCCGAGGGCAACTATTGCACCAGCGAGGAGCTGCAGGAGACGCGTGCGGTGCAGCTGCAGGTGCACGATGCGGACAGCGAATCGCTGGATCCGGCGCAATTCTTGACGGCGCAGGATGCGGCGGGTTTTGTGCTCGACATCGATTTGGATTTCTTTAGCACATCGAATCCGTTTCTGGAAATCTACAAGGATGCCAACTGCTATGCCCAGCTCACGGAGATCTTTCACTTTGAAAGCGTGGAGCCCGCCAAGCAGGCCGGCACAGCGACCATTGCGGACTACTGTGCCACGGCAGCGACGCGACAGAAGCAGCTGGACGCACTGAAGCGCATCTTTTGGCATCTGGAGGAGCAGCGCAGCTTTGATGGCCTGGAGAAGCCAGACGAATCAGTCATAACACCACAGATCTATGCCAAAATTGTCCAGCTGGCCGAGCAGCTGCAGGCCAAGTATCCCGACGACGAGATCGACTGGCTGCTCATCTTCGACTCGGGCAGCACCACGGACAACAATGGACTGCCGCATCACATAAGCACCAGCAAGGAGCTAGCGGAATATTTTGCGAACTTTAAGCGTTTCCTGCAGCGTTTACCCGTGCCGCCCGTCGCCATTACCATGGCGCACTCGGCCCAAGATGATTACTGTCCACAGGATCAGGTGGCGTTCATTGAGGAGCAGGTGCTGCGACTGCTGCGCGAAGTCTTTGGCGACAAGCTCCACGAGAAGGCAATTCTGCACTACATGGACGATCCGTGGGACGTGATGAAGCTCTAAGCATAAAGACTGGAACGAATCCTTTCCCCTTTTCGATTCGACTGACACTTGCTAGAAACTTCAAAGTGATTCCACAACCGCAGCAACCATATGAACTAACCCCCAATGCTAATTTAAAAAGAAAACTACTTATTTTTTATTTATAAACATACGTGACGTATTTATTATACACAAAAAGGAGAGCAAAACAAACACACACAGTTCCAACACATATTCTACATTTATACGAAGCGTGATTATAAATTTAACGCAATAAAATCAAAGAGAAATCGACTTCAATTATTTGCAATGTGCTTGTAAACTAGGCGACAAAGCTCATGTTAAGTTAAAAATTTAAAACTGCAATTTAAGCAAACAATTTAAATCGTTCAGCTTATTTTATTAAGGAGCAATAATTCAGGGACAATTCACCACAGCACTTCCAAACTAGGCGACAAAGCTCATGTTAAAGCTGCTGTTAAATTTATCTTTAACAGGGCATTAGGTTGAAAATATAATCAACCAATTAAAATCTTTCAGCTTATTTTATTAATGAACAATAATTCAGGAATCTTTTACACTACAAGTTAACTACATGTTAAACGTATAATCACGATACAAAAAAAGCTTCGTATAAACGCAGTCGTACAAACGGTGGACATTACTTTTTAAGGCCCTTGCGGCCCACATTTAATGGGCTGCCAATCGATAGTGGGCAGGTCGTGCCATAACATTTGCTGGTTCAGTCGGTTTTTTGGAAGCATTCGGAATACAGAGAGTAAGTTTTCTAGCTTAACTAAATACGCTTGTTCACGAGACGGCAATGCTTAGCATTGATTGGGATGTCATCCACGCTTAGTTCCATATCAGCTACAGCTCCTGCTTGTCGCCTTTGGTACTTTTCTTTTGTTTCTTTCGCTCCGGCTGCTGCGTCAGCTGCTCCTTGAGACACTTGCGCTCCTCCGGACGCTTAAGCACATGATCCTCGCACAGATGCTGCTGCAGGGATTTGTCCTGCTGCAGCTGGAAATACCAATTGCTGATGGCATCCTCGTACTCCTCCAGCATGTTCTCGCATTGGTTCTTCATCTGGGTGACCTCGACGGGCGGCTTGTCCCACAGCTCGTAGGGTATGCCCAGGTCCACTTTAACGCCCTTGTCGACCAGGCCGTGCAGCGTTTGAAAGGTCTGCGACATGCCCTTGGCGAATCGCGTGCTATCCGTGCGCTCCTTGTGCAAATTATACTCGAGCACACGCTCGCACACATTCTCCAGGGACTCCAGCAAACGGAGCTCGCTGCGTCGGTATTCGGTGCGCTTCTTGGGACGCACATCGTCCACGGAGTAGCCGATCTCAATAACATCGTGCGATTTGCCGGTTTCGCCCAGACGCGCCTCCAATTCGGCGGCAAGAATTTTGCAGGCCTCACAGCGATTGGCATAGCGCACGCCTTGCTCCTCCTCCGGTGTTTGCTGGCAGTCCAAGCCCCTCAGCTGGACTAGCAATAGAAATGCAAACAATTGCCGCAACATTTTCAACGAAAGTAATCAAAAACCTGACGTGTGATAATTGAATATATAGCTGTATTTATCAATGCGCTTCTTCGCCTATTTTTGACATTCACACAGAACAAAAAACTCAAAATGGTCGATTAATGGTTATCGATAATTTTCGCGGCACTTGCCACTTTTTGTGATTAGGCGCCAAATATTTGAAATTGGATACGTTGCTGCCCGTGGCAACGCCACGCCAGCCAAAACAAAAACTCAAATGCCCCAAACCCCAATTTGATAAGAATATGTTTGAGAAAAAGCTGACAATCTCACTTGGAGCCGTGCACAATGTCACATAAGAGATTTCATATGCGCTTCGAACTGCAGCTACATGCGGTTGGTATCGTTGGATTTACAAGGAATACTTGATCCTAATCAAAAGCTTACACTTTCTAGCTCACCTGCCCGGGCGTCTGGCTGTGCTCACACGGCTATTTGGAGGCCACTGTCAAGACATTGGGCTACTATTTTCGCACTGGCGCCATGGAGCCACGTTTTCCCATGCTCTGCCATGACCAGTTCACAATGGAAGGTTACTTTAGGAGCGTCAACTCGCTGGAACAGATGCGGCAGATGCTCAACTCGGAACAGCTGGAGATAACCCTGTGGCAAAATGGACGCCGGCTGGCCTACTACGTGGGCAGACTAACGGACGTACTGCAGCCGCCAATTCCACAACCAAGCTGCGCCCACACCGCCAACGTGCAGCTGCTGATGAAGGCAACGTCCGCTTTTCCGGGCATACTGGCGCCGAAAGTGGAGTTGTGCGCGGAACTGAGCACGCAGGACAATCAACGCCGACGCTGTAAACTCGACCTGGAGCGGCCACTAAACAATCGCCACGTAGCGAGTCGCTGCCTCAGTCGCCTGGAGCTGCCGCGCAAGCAGCAATCCGTGTGCCATGCCAGGCAATCGAAATGCAGGGCCAGCAGTTCCAGCTGCAGCTACGCACCCTCCCTGAGCAGTCGCATGCCGCCACGCAGGCTCTCCACATGCTCGAGCAGCACACAGCTCAGTAGTCAATCGCATACGCTCAGTCAGTGCTCCAGCCTGACGCAGTGCAGCCACAGATCAGCTGTGGGTGGTGCTGCCGAGCATCAGAACAGCTGCCCCATCTGTCAGGCATACAGCAGATCGTTTGAGACTTGTTAATAGGTACAAATACATGCGCTTATATTTAACATGAACCACACGGCCAGGCTTACAGGTAGACGGAGAAATCGGTTTGGGCAAAGTACAGAGCAATCAATGTTATAATGAGATTGTAGGGCGCCGCACGCTCCAATTCCTGCGGCTGTAGTTCGTTGCGCAGCAGCACACAGGAGCGCGCTATATACCGCAAGGTGCTGAACACATGCGGCTCCAAGGGCAGATGCAGACAGACCAGGTTGGCGTACAGCCAGCGCGCCAGCCAAGCATCGCGCAGCAAATCAATTGGCTTGGCGGCGGCGGAAGTGCTTGGCTCAGCGGTTTCAACTGGCGGCTGGTTTGGCTCCTGCAGCCACTTGCACAGCAATTCCAGCAAGAGCTCCAAATCGCTTTGGCTCAGGCGCAGCAGAGTGCTCAGCAGCGGCTGCTGCGTCCGGCAGAATTCCAGCCATTTGTCCACGTCCGTGGTGAGCGGCGGCTCGATGCTTTGATCATAGTGCTGTGCATTCAACTCCAGACGCAGTGCAACAACGCGAGCGCGCGCCTTGCTAAAGCTTTTTACTTGAGCGTCCCGCCACTCCGGCGTGGGCAGCAGACATCTGTGGGGCGGCATTGGCGGCTAAGGTAGATACATTAAATAAACATGCAGTTCTCGCAAATCTGTTGCGACTCACGCTGTGTAGCATTTCGCATCCGTTGGTGGTCACATTATATGTGATTTTTTTGGAGCGTTTGGTCACGACAGCCGGGCAACGTTTGCGCTCGTAGAGCATGTGCATCAGGTACTCCTCGCCCGTTTGTGGCGGTTTCTGTGGATCAAAATTGTCATCTGGCTCACGTATTTCCAGTGCCTGTAACTGAAATGTTTCCTCTTCTGTTGCTTTTTGCATTTTAATGCTGCTCTTATGAAGCTTGTTAATTTATTTAGCCGGCAAAACTTGTTTATCGAATCGAAACTAAATCTATTAGCGATGAGCGTTATTTCATCTGCATTAGTGAACGTTCACGGGTCACTTTTCAGCTGGGGATTTTTGGCAACACAATAAATTCAAAACACAGTCTAATATCATAATACTAAAATAAGTATTTATGTTACATTTAAGTTGAATGCCAACATTTAAACTCAATTTTATATACGTCTTGTTGAATCAGCGTTAGCTCTTCGTTGGGTTAGAAGTTATCGATAGTTGGCGATAGCTTAAGCGATATTTTGGGTAACCACTAGGAATAGCCCGCCAACTGAATTTATCGATTCAAATAAATAATTAATAAGAACGCACAACTTCTTGCATTTCTATCAAGAGATTTCCAAATTAGGATTAAGATTTACACACAGCTGTTCACTTTCGCATACATATTGCATATTTTTATATGCTGCATACAATTAAATTAACGAATTCATTTCTATTTAATTTATTTATTTTGCTGTGCTCTGCTGACTAATTCTTAATTTATTTATGTAATGCACTAACTCGCAACATTACTGACGTAATGGGAGGCACTTGGGATATAGTCCAATATAAAATTATGGCCTGCCCGCTTAGCCCCTCTATTCGAGCAAGCCCGGTACAAACACAATCACAATACCCCACTTGGGCAAAAGTAATAATAGGCTATAAAAAGGTCATTTCATAATTGTCTTACGAAAACTCAGTTGCCGACAAGGAGCCCTTGTTGTCCGCGCGGACAGGACCTTTTGTGTGCCGGCCATAAAAGAGTCGTAAGGGGAGACTTGCCCCCAATTAGCTGTCAAGCACAGAGAACAAGAACGCATCCTGGACAACCTGTGGATTGCAGAGCTACCAAATAAACGAGGGCGGCACTATTCTTGTCTTTGCCCTCAGTTCATTGCTGGGGGCAAGCAGCCATTGTATCTGTAAGCAGCTGCCCGTGAAGTTACATATCAAAATTGTTTATTAAATTTTGTTTTTACGCCGCTTGCCAAGTGAAGTGCAATTTAAAATTCATTAAAAACAGAACACAGCCAGATTTTAGCCAGGGGCCAGACAAGAAAACAAAAAAACAATAAAAGCAGAATGGTGTATATCATACTAAGAAATTAATACTTTCAGGTGTGTGTATTTGTGCGTGAGTGAATTAAAAAGAAGCAATAAAAAATATTCTTTCCCATGGCCCAAATCCAGAAAAAATAATTGTTTTTTTCTTTTTTTAAGAAAAATAAAATATATGCGTACTTTTTCTTAAAAAAAACTAAAATCTTAAAATCAATCAACCTTTTTCAAAATTAATTTGTATACTTTTACAGATTCTGACATATGTATTAAAAAAAACATAGATGTATGATATTGAGAGATGTACATTAAATATTTTGTGTACTCACCATGAAACCATTGAACCGCATCAAAATTCCAACGGAGGCTTTTGCTGGCAAGCATACATCCATGATCTGCGATTCATACTTTTTACAAATACGTGCATCCATACACTCACACTATCGCCCCATCTGCATCGGACCGCCTCGCAACTTAAACTGACGATGAGCTCCAATTGGCGGCTGCTTAAATACTGTTCGCTCTTCTTCTTGCCAGCTTACATGGACGATCTGCATTTCATACTTGTATTAAAACACACACACACTCACTTTCATGACATCGCACGGTCTGCATTGGACCGCCTCGCGACTTCAACTGAAGTTGAGCTCCAATTTTCAGCCATTTATATACTGTTCGTTCTTCTTCTTGCTGGCAATAACGCATGATCTGATTTTCATATTTTTATAAAAACACACACATTCACGATCACGCCCGTCTGTATCGGACCGCCTCGCAACTTAAACTGACGATGAGCTCCAATTTGCAGCCATTTATATACTGTTCGTTCTTCTTCTTGTTAGCTTACATGGACGATCTGCATTTCATATTTGTATTAAAACACACACACACTCACTTTCATGACATCTCACGGCCTGCATTGGACCGCCGCGCGACTTCAACTGAAGTTGAGCTCCAATTTGCAGCCATTTATATACTATTCGTTCTTCTTCTTGCTAGCATTAACGCATGATCTGATTTTCATATTTTTATAAAAAATAAACACACATTCACAAACACGCCCGTCTGTATCGGACCGCCTCGCAACATAAACTGACGATGAGCTCCAATTGGCGGCTGCTTAAATAGTGCTCGCTCTTCTTCTTGCCAGCTTAGATGGACGATCTGCATTTCATATTTGTATTAAAACACCCACTCTCACTTTCATGACATCTCACGGTTTGCATTCGACCACCTCGCGCCTTCAACTGAAGTTGAGCTCCAATTTGCAGCCATTTATATACTGTTCGTTCTTCTTCTTGCTGGCATTAACGCAAGATCTGATTTTCATATTTTTATAAAAACACACACCATTGCACCGTCTTAGCCGGACCGACTCGCAACTCAAATTGACGCTGGACTCCAATTTGCAGCAGCTTATATACTGTTCGTTCTTCTTCTTGCTAGCATATTGCACGACCTAATTTTCATATTTTTATAAAAACACACACCATTGCACCGTCTTAGCCGGACCGACTCGCAACTCAAATTGACGCTGGGCTCCAATTTGCAGCAGCTTATATACTGTTCGTTCTTCTTCTTGCTAGCATATTGCACGATCTAATTTTCATATTTTTATAAAAAAACACACACGTTCAAATTCACGCTACCGCACCGCCTATACCGGACTGCCTCGCGACTTCAACTGAAGTTGAGCTCCAATTTGCAGCAGCTTATATACTGTTCGTTCTTCTTCTTGCATGATCTGCATTTCATATTTTAATAAATGCACACATTTGTAAAGGGCCGCTTAGCGTGCCCAACTGAAACTGTTCTCTTATTCGCCGCCATTTATATACTACTTGCTCTTCTTCTTGCTCGAATTCTATTAAGATCTGCAGCTTAACGTCAACCACCCTCAC